TTATGATGAATTATGTAGATTATTAATGCATATTTTCAATGCTAATTCTTTCTGATCCTTTCATTTTTTTATTCAGAGCAAAGTAAGAGAGACTGGCGGAAAAATTTTTACGAAAAATTGCATTGATTGAAACAAGATCATAGAAATTTTTAGTTTTTCATAGATATTTATAATGGGACATAGAGTAACGTCACTTTCATTTGTTTGAAAAACCAAGAAATCCTCCGTCCTCAACGCCATTCTACGTCCGATTACGAATATCTATGAAAAACTATAAAAATTTCAAAGACAAACAGACTACATTCTATGTTCTATTACAATACCTACGAAAAATTAGAAATTTCCAAGATCTTATCTCAATCTATGGTAATTTTTCTGTAGTAAAGTAAGACCCTTTTCAGATATTGATTTTTTTTTTCCTATTACCTATGACAGTGATGCGAAACGAGCCGAATGCAGTTCACTTGTGAATTTTTTAATTAAACCGATCATCCCAACAAACGAAAATGAATTAAAATGAATTGAAATTTTTTTCTGTCCATTTTAATTCGAATGCGTATTTTAAATAGCGAATACTTTTTTTAGATTTAATTGGATTCAATTAGATTCAATTAGATGTAATTGGATTGAAAAACTGCATTTCCTATTTAAAATTTTGAATTGAATAGTATTCACAATGCACAGAAAAAACTAATATTATTTTTAAATTAAAAGGCATAGAGATATGCTCCATACAACTCCTATAAATGAATAAAAATGCATTCAGGATTGAAAAGCATTCATTTTAACATTCGTAAATCAATATTTCTGAAAATCTGAATCCATTTTAATTCATTTCAATCCATTCTCGATTGCTGGGATACAATGTGTTCTTTGTTTTCTATCTTTCTTGCTTTTTACTTTATTCTTTGCGATTATTTTATCGAGAATGTATTTCTTGCCACGTTTCTTCTGAAGTTTGTTAACTTTTATTTTGGGTGATAGAAAACGAGAAATAAAAGATAAAATAAGAGATAAAAAGACAAGAGCCGGAATTCATAGTCCGTTCTTAATCTCAAGCAATGTCTTAAGATGCTAATAGGCTCTCTGATTGGTTCATGCGCTAAGACCATCTCAAATCTTGAGCAATGTTTATGAATTCCGTTCAAGGTATAAAAAATAGCAAAAAAACAAGAAACAGGAAATCAAAAGCACATTATTGAATAGGCTTTATGATTAACAAGCTCATAGTTGAAAATACAAAATTATATTTTCTGTAATTACATTTCATGAAAATGAAATAATCACAAGTTACTTTCCATTTTTACACAAGTAATACCGGGTTTAAAAATTATGTGAGGTATTTTATATTCAGATAATGATGTACTTACTGGTGAATTAGTTATTGTATAACACAGATTTATAACCTCACTTTTTTTGTGCAAGTTAACAAGTATTTTAGGCTGGCATGGCAATAGATTGATGTTATATGTTCTACGTTTTACCAACAGTAGAGCGTCATTGGCTACGTTTAACACTCAGTAAACTGCAGTGAACTTAGTAATTGAATGAGCGCTTGCTACTCTATTGATGTATTCTTCTAACTTAGCTAAAAGTCTGATAGGATGATCTAGAAGAATACACACTTGCTTTAAGATCTTCTAAGTAGAGATTGGTCAAAACTTCAGCTTGTGAAACCGGAAATGACGTGTTTTGGAAATGCGCGCTTATGGTGCGTTCGGGGAGACACTATTAGCGCTACTTCTATCATTCTATCTTCGTTGTTTATTAGATGTAAAAGGATAAAATAACAAATAGCGTCTTCCCGACCGCACCTTAGAGATCCTCTAAAAACGCGGGGCGCGTATTTTCAAAACATTATTTCCAGTTTCACATCATACCGGAGCTTTGGCCAATCTGTACTTAGAGGATCTCTACACTTTCGAGTTTTGATTCGATTCTGATGGCGCAACCACAGTATATACAGTAGCACAACTCTCTATCGGCACCTTTGATGTTAGTATTGGCCAAAATGAAGTGCGCATGCGCGAAATATAAGTAACGCTATCTGAATTTCTTTCTCAATTGCTCTTTATTTTCTCTCTCTCTCCCTCTCTCTCTCGATCGTTTGTATGTATATCAAATTTTAATCTAAATGTAATAAAACTAAAAGAAATAGATTCATAATTGTAATGTATTGCAAAACAAAAAAAAAATACAAAAATAAGAAAATATAAAATTATATAAATGTTGCATGATACAAATATACTGTAAAAATATTTTAATTAACGACTGCAGTATATAATACTTGTTTTCCTGCTAGATCGCTTGCGTTTTTGGTAAATTATTAGAGTTGCACCACACAGAACGCAGATTTTCTAACTAAAACATAAGCAATCTAGCAATTATACACATCACAGTATTTAAACTGACGAAATTGATGTGTTGCAGATGTGTGTGTATGTGTGTGTGTGCGTGTGTGTGATTTCAGTTAATGGTTCATCTCTCTTTGAATTGTTGTCTTATTTCCAGTTGCTGGCTTTGTAACAACAATTTTGCTGACGCCTAACCATTTGCAAGCTACTAATGACTATTGTATTGTACTTTATTTTATGTTATATCTATCCAGCAAACGAGAATGGATTAAAATAGATTGAAATTTTTTTCTATCCGAATGCGTATTTTAAATAGCGAATTTTTTTTTTGGATTTAATTGAATTCAATTGGATTCAATTAGATTCAATTG